CAGGTGGCATAGTGGTTAAGGCACTGGACTCACACATGGCAGACGCGGTTTGAGTCCCAGACCTACAGCCTTGCTTTCTCACTTTCTCTCTCTCTCTTTCTTTCTCTCTCATGGGCATGTGTAGCCTATAGCAAATTAAATAATAATAAAATTAAATACATACTTCTCTAAAAAGTGTTTTGTGAATTTGAACAAATGCAATTATTCAAAAATGTACACGAGACATGGGACCAGCAGTTGATGTAATGGCTATGTCACTGGACTCCCATGTAGTTGACCATGGTTCAAGTCCTGGATCTGGTGACTTGAACTCATGCATGCATGCCCAAGATCCCAAGAGGAGAACAAGGAAAAGGGATTGCGGCATGGCCATCCCCCCTGGGGGGTGATTTCTCGCTTTCTGTCTCTCTGTCTCTCTGTCTTTCTGGTGAGCGCATACACCCTATAGCAAAAAACCTCTCCCGAAAAAAATTTTTTAAAAAATGTATATGAGACATGTAAATTTGCAAAATGCAATGGGTAAATTAATTAATTAAGCCCTCAAATAATGAATGGCAGCTAATAGTTGTCTCCCACCTGCAGCAGTAGTTGTCTCTTTCTGTCACTATACTGGAAACAGATTTGTTTTTTGGTTTTGTACAGACATGGCGATCCATCCCAGCTCATGACTTTCATGTTTCTTATTCTCTTTGCCTAAAAGCATTCCCGCCAGCACACATACACCCAGGCCCCTTTGTACATGCTGGGTTATTTTTCATCTTTCTGTTCTGAAATGTCACTTCTTCAGAGAAAATGTTACTAATCCCTTCTCAAAGTAGGTCCCCTTCATTATTCTCTGTTATATAACGCTGCCTGTATTTTCATAGCATTTTAGACAATTTATGTGCATATACATGTTTATTCACTAGGCAAATGTCTCACTCTTCTAGAATGAGAAATCCCATGAGGGCAGGAATTTTAAATGTCACTTCTCAGGGGCTCAGGGTATGCAAGGGGCATTTCACTGTCAGCTCAACATCTTTGCTATCAGCCACCACCGTCTTCCATCTGTGGACTCTCCTTTAGCCACACACCCCCCAAATATTTATTGTTTGACTCATATATTCTGCTAAAGTAAAAGGATATTCTCATCCAGGACCTGGGAATTGAAAGTTGGCCATTTCATATTTTACATTAATATTTCTTAAACAACAGGAAGTATCAGCCCACATTCCAAAAGATTCATTGGCATAAAACTTAGTAGGAGGATTTTTCTATGCTATCTCTTGGACATAATTTACAATTGGATAAGAAATATATAAAAAGCATGCTCACTCTTTAAAATGAAAATTAAAACAATGAGTTTCTTTTTTTTTTTCAGTTAGTTTTATATTTTGTTCACAATTAAGATGGTTGATACTCTCTAGAGTTGGCCAACACATCAGGAAATGATCCCATTTTGTATATTTATGGAAGTGTGAAAAGAAAAAGCTTTTAGGGCGGCCAATTTGGTATTATTTATTCAAAAGATAAATATCCATGTCTTTCAACCCAGTAGTTGCACATCTAAATATTTCTTCTTAAAGAAATACTGCGTGCTAAGAAGGCACATAGAAGAATGCTCATAGCAGTATTCTTTTTAAAGTAAATTAATGAAAAATACCTACTTGTCCATTAACATGGGAATTCTGTGGTTTATCCATATTGTGGAATACTTTGTAGTACTTTAAAAAGTCTAGGATATATCTATTGGGCTTGAAATTAAAAGAAAACTTAAAAGGTTAAGTGAGCAAATGTGTAATGTAACATGCTTTAATCCCATTTTTGTAAGAAAATTATTTTGTATACATCCCTGTATATAAGAAAACACAGCCAGACCACAGTAACATTTGCTGTATTTAGGAAGGAGATTAGAATTTGGGAATCGGAGTGAAAGTGGATTTTTTACTTTTTATTCTATTTCCCTCTATAATTATAATTATAATTTAAAGTCTTTTAACATGTATTTTTATGTTATGGACTCTTATAGAGAAAGATGCACCCAAATAAATTAATGCACCAACCACAAAGCCTGACATGTAACAAGCACTCAGTAAGAAGAAGATTCTTTGTCCAATGCAGTTTGAAGTCCAAACTCACCCCTGAAATGAGGGGATTTCATGGTTTCAATCACATTCTGCCCACAGCTCAACTGCTCAACTCAGATGTCAATGAGAAATGTTTTGAAGGAGCAATTCAGGAACAAGCAGCTTTGTAAATGTTATCTATGCAGATAAAGTAAAATGGGAAAGTGGAATGACCATTTGTAGACAAAATGGAGTCAGGATGGTTTAGTGTGACTCCCTCATTTCCTGTCTTACCATGTGCCTATTATATAATTATGACTGCTGTTTATACCATTTCATGTAACACATGTGCATGTGTGACAGTTTGTCTTTGGTAATGAGCCACTGTTGTCTGCAGCCCCTTTAAGAGAAAGGGGGCACCTCATCAGCTAGGTCTGCCCTACTCAGCTTGCCTTGGCTTGACTTGGCCTTGGCTTAGCTCAGCTCAGCTCCATGCACTGTGAATCCTGAGGAGGAGGAAGTGCTCTGGTAGCACTGCCTTGCATGTTCATGTCCAAGAGGGAGAAGTCTCTGAGGCTACTAGAACTTCGTGAGCTCTCCTGAGCTCAGCCAGTAAACAACATGATATCAGTGCCTCACAGCTTTTCCAACTCTCTGCCTCTCAGTCTGATCCATGTTTCAGAGGAGGAAGAATCTCACAAAACACCCTTTTTCTGAAAAATCACGCATTATAACCCTAAGTTCTGTGACTCTCAGAGTTGACCCAGTTCCCTTGTTTTGCAGATGGGGCCATAAAGCTATTTTATAGACTGACTGAAAACAGTGAGGTTTTTGAAAGAGTGGAGTCATCACTAAACATTTATTCTACATACATTTTCAAATACCACTTACAAGCCAGGGCTTGGCTGAGGGCAATGGAGATACAAAGATGAAACACAAGTCTGCCCGCAGGAGTGCACAGCATCATAGCCAGAATCAATCAACCCCCATTTAAGTAGCCATTCATATGACAGATACTTGCTGGGGAATTTCCATATATCAAGCCATTTTAGACACTGGAGTTAATGCAGGAACAAAAAAGAACAAAACGAGTGACTTCATGAAACCTCCCTTCTTGGGAGATATCCAGAAATAAGCTAAATATGTACCATGTATGGTGTGGATGAGAGTGAATGTTAAACAGAAAATAAGCAAAAGAGAGGTAACTTAGAAGTTAAATGTTTCATAAATGACGGGAAATAACCTGGAGGAAGTAGATGAAAATGACAGCAACAAAGAGCAAAGGAATAGTCTAATGACAGGAATTTGAAAGCTTTCTTTTTGTGGGGGAGGAGGAAAGATGAAAACTAAACTGAAAGAAGCAATTAAAAACAAGGAGGATATTGGGCCAACCCATGGCTTGATGGTTAAGGAAGCTGGATCCTACATGGCCAGCCATCTTGAGTTTTTTCAGCAGCTTGAAGAACATTCTGGTTACCTGTGTGTGTCTAAAATTACAACAAGGTAGAAAAACAAAGAAAAAGCATTATGTCATGACCATTGTCCATTGGGAGGCTGCCTTCTCTCTCTCCCTCTCTCCATCTCTGTGCCTCTCTCTGGTGAGTGCATGCACCCTATGGCAAATCATTTTTTTAAATTTTTACATATGATAAGGAGGATATCTACTCAACTGTAAGCTAAGGTAACTTGAAGTATGGGGCTGTAGAAAAGAAAAGACTGTTTACTGGAGATGACTGCAAGGGACACAGTGTTATTGTTGGGGATGTTTGGTGATGCGAGATATGAGTGATATTTTGGAGAGAAATGGATTATTCACAGAAAAAGCTGAGGAGGACCCTAAGTGGATTTCTTAAGTTTGACATGAGTTTCTGTTTACATAGTGAAAGAACCTGGGTGGGAGATACTGTCAGGAGCAGAAGTGTCCAGAGACATTTAGGAAGTTGAATTCTGGGCATTAGGAATCTGGGATTGGACAATAGGGATGAAGACAGAAGAAGAAGGGACGCGGGGCTATTCTTTGCTGTGACACACAGCAAGGAGGGCAGGGCATCTGTTTAAGGAGATGTTAAGGGATGCTATTACTTCTAGCAGATCTGCTCTCTCCGATTGAAGGAAGAGCCTTAACACTGAGCACTGGAATGCCCTCTCTCGTTCCCTGCTTGCTGGCCAGTTTTGTGCTATACTATGCTAGCTCCTTCTAGCCCCTGAATCACTGATAGTACATTACACATTTTGTAAAGGAGGGAAGGGCATAGAAAGAAAAGCTTCAGGACCAGCACATGGTGTAATGGTTTTGTTACTGGATTTCCACATAGTCAACTGCAATTCAAGTCCCGGACCCAGTAGCTTAAAACTCACACCAGGTGCATGTGCATGCATGCCCAAAATTCTGAGAGGAGAATGGAGAAGCAATTGCAGCAAGGCCATCGCCCCCTAGGGGGATAATTTCTAGTTTTCTATCTCTCTGGAGAGTTTGCATGCCCTATAGCAAAAGTCCCTTTAAGGAAAATAAGACACGTGCATGCGCGTGCACACAAACAGACACACACACACAAAGAAAAGCTTCATTTAGTAATAGCAATTTGAGTGTTTATGCATTAGGTTATATTTATTTCACTGCTTGAAAACCTAATTGGTTAGATTTATGCAGAGATAATCCAAATCCTTGTCATAACTCCCCAAATGAATTTAAACATTGGTTCATTTTCTTCATGAAATTAAAAAAGTGAACATTCAAACCAGAAAATTGTTTATTTCTCATAAATATTTAACAGAATTCTGAAACACCTCTCCTGAAAAATTTAAACAAGTTTAACTCTATTAGTGCTAATATCTAGGTGGTACTTTTCAAAGAACAGTGGTACTTTCCTGTATCGCCGTCACAAAAACTACAACTATTTGTTGACCTCTCCTGGTTATTTCTTATTGCTAAAACCCACTTTTTTGTATTTGCAGGCATGAATATAAGCAAGAGTGAGATAACGAAAGAAACTCCATTAAAACCATCTCGGAGATCCCTGCCCTGCTTAGCCCAGAGCTATGCTTACTCTAAGAGCTTGAGCCAGTCGACCTCGCTCTTCCAGTCCACGGAGAGCGAGTCTCAGGCTCCCACTTCTGTGACCTTACTCTCGGCTGACAAAGCGGAGCAAGGTGAGCAGCAATTCCTGTTTTCTTCTTTGACTTATGAACTGTGTTTTCAAACCATTCCTTACTTTTTCCACTTGACTAGTATTTGTGGAGTTCTTCGGGAAGAAAGCTGCCATGGGAAGAAAACCAGCACCCCATGGTAGTCGGGGGCAAGGCCAGTTGTTGGCCAGGTATTCCTTATTTACCTTGAAGGTAGCCAGATCCAGGAGAGCCTGGACCTAACGCTTGCTGTTTGCAGAGGAAGACAGACCCAGCTACGTGAAAGGCTGGTGCAGTTAGCCAGTTGCCATCCCTTTTGCCCATGAGTCCCATTCCTGGTGAGAACTTATAACCCATATTCAAGTAGCATGTGTCAGCGATAGTATGCTCAAATTTAACTCTATTAGTGCTAATATCTATTTGATACTTTTCAAATAACAGTGGTGCTTTCTTGTATCACTGTCACAAAAACTACAACTATTTTCAGTTCTCTAGGGAGAAAGATGAATGATGTTAATACAGATGATACGGCAGTGAAGTTGAAGATATATCTGAACAGGGGTTGGCAACCAAACATGGAACTCAAGTGCTGACGGTGCCAGCTGGATGCCCCCTTAAAGGAATGTTGTGCTGTCTTTAGTCACTCTTCCACACATATCTGCCCAGCCAAGACACACCACTGTGCTGCGTTTTCACAACATTCCAGAGTCAAAATACAACCATGGTGGACTAGCAGGTTGCATGGTGGTTAAGGTGCTGGACTCCTACCTGGCTAGCCATGGTTCAAGTCCCGAACCTGGCAGCTTGCTTCCTCACTTTCTTTCTCTCTCTCTCTCTCTAGTGAGCACACATGCCCTGTAGAAAATTGAAGAATAATGATATATAAGATTAAATAAAATAATTATTTTAAAAAAATATAACCTTGACCCCTGCCAGTCACTGGAAATGATGGGTTTTTATTTTCCCATTCTTTTCTAGCTGGAGCATGGATCCCTTTATGATACCTTAGGGTTGTTTCTTCTTCTGGATAGCTTGAATATACAAAAATGTTATTTTCAACAATTATTTTTGTAATACAGATAATTATATATTACAGATAGTGAGTTTACAGCCATGTTCAATAAAGAAAATAGCTAATTGTTCAAGAGAATGAAATATTAAACTATAATATAGATGTTTATTTCCTTCTTTGAACATGAAATTTCAAATAACTAATTTCAACTTATCAACTTAAAATGTCTTCTTTGAAACCAGCAGATGATGTAACGGTTATGTCACTGGATTCCCACATAATCCATTGTGGTTTGAGTGCTGGACCTGGTAGTTTGAAACTCACACTGGGCGTGTGTGCATGAGTGCCCAAAACTTCTACAGGGGAATGAGGAGAAGGGATTGCCTAGAAGAGAATGGAGAAGAAGGGATTGTGGCAATGCCATCCTCCTGGGGCGGGGGGGGCGGGGTTTGAGTAATTTCTCACTTTCTGTCTCTCAGGCAAGCACACGCCGCCTATTGCAAAAATCTCTTAAAAAAAAAAAAAGTCTTCATCTTTGACCATCATTTGGATGTCGTTCACCATGGCCATTTTTCTATTATGCTTTTACTTCTAGAAACTACAAAGTATTTCTCGTTCTTTCTTTTTGTCCAGTTCACACTGAAGAAAATAAAAACGACTCCGTGCTCAAATGTTCTTTTGCCGACCTCAGCGATTTTTGCTTGGGTGAGTTGAATTCCAGTATATCCCTCCTCTTTCCCCTGCCTCCCAAGGTAAGCTCTGTGCTTCATAACCTGGAACCTTTTTCATTTGTTTGTTTTTAGGAAAAAGGTCTTTGATATTTGATGAGTAAGAATGATTATTCTAAGGTTAAAAAATAAGGTATTTATTTTGTGTTCAAAATTTAAATAGCACAAAGGGATTTATAATGAACAACAGCTCAATAACCAAAAATATTTTCACAATTTTTCCTTCCAGAAGTTCATTTTAATCTCCTATGTATATGCACATCTATACCACTATCTCCAGGTTTTTCAAATTTGAACACCCAGAATTTGGAACGATAAGAATACTGAAAGAGTCTATCCTGACTCTCCATTAGTAGATAATGTACATTTTGTTTTTTTACTTTTTCTGCAACAGCGGCCAGTTTTCTCAGTCTCCTCTTTTGCTTTTTGATGTTTTTCACATAAGATTTTCTTCGGCTGAGCAACTTTCTATTCAAATCTGTGGTTTGCTGTCCTTGCCCATGAGCAGCGCTTTTGAACTGGGTTCGTTTTATAGGTGACATCAAAAGAACACATGCTCCATCAAAGTACAGAAGTCTTTCCTGGAGTAATTAATTCTGAAGAAGATTGCTGTTATCAGTTATCTTCTGATAAGAAAACAAAACCACAACCAAAAACTAACCAAAAGGTTCTCTGTTCAAAATATCCATACAGGAAGTAATGTTTGCACACACCTTTCACTAACCATTCTCCCCAATTAGTGCAGGTTAAATAATTGCTCTAGTCATACAAACCATTCTATTCCATTCAATGCATCTTACTTTTCGCAGCCTAACCCAAATTCCAAATGGTGAAACCAGCTCCTCTGAATGCTTAGTGTAAGTGGGTACCTAGTCTCAACATTTCCTTCCTTTTGGTATGTCTCAATCATTCGACCCACCTGATATATAGTTATATATCTCCAGCATTGTACCTCATACCCGACATGTTGGCATTCCCCAGCATCAAGCACTTATTCACTCAAGTTAGACAAACATCATAGCCTCTGAAGAGGTTAAGACACACACAGGATGAGGTGTTTGCTTTATAATGAAGGCTAAGGCGAGTCTCTCACTGACCACAGCATTGCTAAGCATCCCAGGAAGCTATCTGGATGTAACATCTGGCTGGAAAATCCTTAGAGTGAACTGCATATCTACAGTATGAATGCTTTATCTTTAGAAAAAGATAAAACAAAATGATGTGCTATATGCCAAGAATACAATTAAATAAAGAGTATTTTAGATCCATGCTGCCTTTTAAATACAAAGCAGTTTCATTCTCTAATTTTGCCAGTTTCTAGCTTTGGGTCAGTTATTTCATGGGCATTTCCAAGTAACAACAGTCTCTGATATCTGACCACGGCATCCAGTGAATGACTTTTCTTTTATACTTGAGCTGCCCTGTAAGAATATTAACACCATGGCCAGGTTTAACTGCATTTGATCAGTGTTTCTCTGATGACTGATATTTCTCATTGCTCAAACTGAGAGCTAGGAAGGAAGGACTGTTGGTGACTGCATTGAATCATAGCTGAGAGTTTCCACTAAGCTTACTCACAGGATGTGTGTAGATAATGAATGAATGCTGTTTTCCCAGCCTTAACGTCGGTCAAGTCTCCATTCTTGTCTCTACCACATGGGTGACTCTGACTTACTACTCGCTCCTCTGAGCCTCAGTGATCTCAGTTGTGTGTTGAGATCAATGATCAGTGCTGTGCAGGGCTTTTGAAGTAAATAGGAGGCATAGCTTCATCCCAGATCTTAGCACATGATAGCGATCCGGCCAGTGTTTGCTCATGGCTTTCATCCATTATTCACTAAGCTTATCTTTCACACCAGATTCTGCTGGGCCCAGAGGTATCTGCACTAAATCTGTTTCTATTATCATAAAAATGTGATTCCAATGTCATAGTAACAAAACTAATTTATTGGACTCTTTCTGATTATGCAACACCTTACCTGCCTTATCTCACTTCTCATAAGTATACTTTGTGTTAGATATTATCCTCATTTTACAGATAAGGACACTGAGTCACCAAGAGATTAAAATAACTTGCTGAGTATCATATAGCTAGCCAATGAGGAAATGAGATTCCAACCCAGGACATATCAGCCCTTAGCCTTATTTCTTATTCAAAATGATAGGCACAAAGTACTTTCACGTGGGACGAGCAGTTAGCATAATGGCTACGTTGCTAAACTCCCATGTAGTCAACCACAGTTCAAGTCCTGGACCCAGTGGCTTAAACTCACGCCGAGCACGTGTGCCTGCGTGCCCAAGATCCCGAGTGGAAAGTGGAGGAGAAGGGATTGCAGTGTGGCCATCCCCCCTGGGGAGTGATTTTCTCACTTTCTGGCTCTCTGTCTCTCTCTGTCTTTCTGGTGAATGCACACACCCTCTAGCAAAAACCTCTCCAAAAAAAAGTACTTTCACGTTAAAAAGTGGTGACACTTATATCACACCAGCTCTGCAAGGTGTTAATAAGTATTGGACTGAGGGCAAAAGATAGGGGTACAGCCCCATGGTAAAATACATTTGGGGAATTATTAAAGAAAGCTAATTGAGTTGGGAGGCTTTACATTTTTTTATTATTGTTCAGTTTCCTCTCATTTTCTTTTTTTAAATTGACATCTCATAGCCTTTATTTTTTCTTATGAGTGATTTTTCTTTTTTCCATAGCACATGTGTGTTCACTGGAGAGACAGAGAAACAGAAAGCAAGAAATCACCCCCAGTGGGATGGCCACATGGCAATCCCTTCTCCATTCTCCTCTTGGGATTTTGGGCATGCATGCACATGCATCTGATGTGAGTTTCAAGCTGCCTGGTTCAGGACTTAAACCACGATTGACTGTGTGGGAGTCTAGCAACATAACCACTATGTCATCTGTTGGTCCCTCATAGCCTTTAATTCTACTTTACATAGAACAGCTCACAAAACCAGTGCACCATCCCACCCTAGTCATTCTAGAAAGTGTCAATCCACGTAGCAGTGAATGTGAAGTCTCGGTGTGATGCTCATTGTATTCATTAATCCTGGAAGCTCTGCCATCACACCCTACCATTTTTTTTTTTTTCTCAGTCATGGATGCCCAAAGTCCCAAGAGGAGAATGGAGGAAAAGGGATTATGATGTGGCCATCCCCCCCTCGGGCAGGATTTCTTACTTTCTGTCTCTCTGGTGAGCACATGCACCCTATAGCAAAAATCTCTCTCTCTCTCTCTCAAAAAAAAAAGAAAAACATGGCATAAGAAAGAATTTACTGCTAGTGTTTCCAACCTACTTAAGAACGACAGAAATAAGTGAATTACATACAAAAAACATAGTAGTTTCCAATTATGACTGTCTCAGGCCACTGTAAGTATTTTCAATTGTTTATTGACCACATTCAGTAAGTCCTTTTGGCCCAAGTCTCAAAATATATTCAGAACTGACCACTGCTCACCCCACATGCTGCTGTGCCTTGGCTCCATTCTCTTGGCTGGCTCACAACTTTCTAAGTGTCTCCCTGCTCAAACTCCAGCCTCCTTGTGCTTTATTTCCTACCCAGCAGTTACAGGAAGCTTTAATAAAAGGAAAATTAAATCTCATCATTTCTCTGTTCCAGTCTCTCCAGGATTTCCCATTGCATTTAAAATACAAACTTACTGGGACCTTCGGAGGCTATGCAGAATCTGGGTCTGACTTCTGGAGGCCATTTTCTTTTTCTTTCTTTTTTATTTGTTTGTTTGCTACAGGACATATGTACTTGCTGGAGAGATACAGAGAAAAAGAGATATAGGGAGAGAGGGAAAGTGAAATAGCCACACTGTAATCCCTTCTCCATTCTCCTTCTGGATTCTGGGTTATGCACACACACAGGCCCAGCATGATTTTCAAGCCTCCAGGTCCAGGATGCCAGCTGCTCAGTCAGCCCTGTGGGATCCAGCCCCTCAGCCTCTGCGCCCCCTCCTGGCCTCTTGCAGGCCATTTTCCAATGCTTCCTTTTCCTCAGTGCTACAACTACCTTGACTGTCTGGTTTTCCTTGTTCATAATAAGAGTTTTATCACAAGACCCTACAGTGCAAGAAACCAAATATCTACCGGTTTCACTTTCTGTTCCATAATCTGGATATTTATTTTGTTTTCGTCATGATACTTATTATCATCTGTGACTTAGGCCCACCTCCCTTTCTGTTTCCAGCTTTTATCAAAGCCCAGAGACTTTATCAATCCTATTGATACCTGTAGCCCCAGAATCAGGATTAGTACCTGGAACATGGTAGGAACTCAGAATGTTTTTAGGATCAGCGACAGGGCAGATGGATGCTGAAAGACTGAGCCTCTAGACACGCAGCACATCTTCAGAGAGCCCATGGCAGAGTCCACCCATCGCTTTGCTCCCTGACAGCGTTGGTCACTGTGAGTTTCCTCCCATTAGGAGTCAGTGCTTTGTTAATTTCCTCCCTGAGACCCTGATGTGAATATGGTTTGCTTTTTCATTGAAGTTGTGCTGACAGACCTTGATATAGAGCATGTAAAGACCTAAAATCACCATTCTTTTTAAGTAGGGAAGCGGCTTATCTAACATTCCTCTTATGTGAAGTCCTCCCTAAGACTCAGTTCTGTAGCTGTTTCTTCCTTTCGATTATTCCAGCACTTCGGATGTGACTGCGTTCACACTCAGTCCGCTGGGTGATAGGAGTGCTATTTAGATCTACATTTTCATGTTGCTTAGCACCAGCTATATACGCAACGATCGATGAATGAAAATTGGACGAATGTAAGGAAAGATAGATGGTGGATGGGGGGACCACTGGCACACAGACACGAAGGAAATCTGTGTACCTGCAGCTAGCTTAGCTCTAGCGTTCCCTGAGCACGGCTCCATCAGTACCTTTAGTATAACTGGCTACGGGTGGGACTGTAGAACAGTGGTAGGGTTAAGGGCAAGTAGGCAACAAAGAAACCACGAAAA